GTATGGTACAGTATGGTACAGTATGGTACAGTATGGTATAGTATGGTATAGTATGGTATCGTAGGGTGTGGTTTAGTCTAGCTTGAGTATGGCAGACTTTAGTTTCGTGTTTAGTGTTGTATTGTGGTTGGCATCCTCGTCCTTATGGGGAGGGATTTGTATTAGTTTGCTTGTTGCCTGCATCTGCGGACGAAGGCGTTGTGGTGGTCTTCATCGTTTCCTGCATCTTCTTTTTTGTAGCTGAGTAGGCAAGCTTTGGCCCTTTCGGGTCTGTAGAATCCTACCCCAATCCCTACTAAACCCGAACACGGCACCGACGGCTCAAGAACAACAGCTTGTTCGAGCAACTTTCAACTCCTCCAGCCATGACTCTTGACAAGATGCCAGCGGAAGCTCAAACTCTGGTGTTGAAGGTCGGAACTTCGACGATCATGACCTCCGACGAGCGAGGGCAGCGGGTGAATGTCGCGAACATTTCGAGGTTGGTGGAAGTCATCGCCGATCTCTCCTACAAAGGGTTCAAGGTCGTCCTTGTCTCTTCTGGAGCCGTTGGCATGGGTTGCCGCGAGCTGGGATTGAAGCAGAAGCCCACCACTCCTGCGTTGAAGCGCGCTGTCGCTGGGGTCGGCCAAAGCCGCATCATGCGCGTGTACTCTGAGCTCTTCGAGACTGTGGGGCTGAAGATTGCGCAGCTGTTGGTGAGTCAGCGCGACTTCTTGGAGCAGCAACGCTGGGCCGAAATCCGTGACACGATTGCAGCATGTCTCGAAGCCAACGTGGTGCCAATCATCAATGAGAACGACACCACGAACACAGATGGCATGCGCTTCGGCGACAACGACAACCGCGCATCCCTCACTGCGGTCCAGCTTGGAGCTGCCGGTGTATTCCTATTCACCGATGTGGACTACCTCTACACAGCGAACCCCAACGTGGATCCCTCTGCTGAGCCCATGAGGGTGGTCAACGAGGCATTCGAGCTGGACGTCGACACCCGCGAGCCGGGGTCTTCTTTGGGCACTGGCGGCATGGCAAGCAAGGTGTCTGCAGCCCGGACGGCTCATTGTGCCGGTATCCCCTGTGGCATCTTGCACGGGAGATTCCCGGAGCGAATCTTCAGTTTCTTGAAGGAAGAGGAGGGCGACTCCACGCGGACCTCTCCGAAGACTCAGACTCAGACAGTGAGTGCTACTGACAGCGAGGACGGCGGCGAGCCCGAGCCGGAAGGCACGCTCTTCGCAGCCCGGGAAGGCGAGCAGAGAACGGAAGCCGAACGCTGGATTCTCAGCCTGCCCGTCGTCGGGGACGTGGATGTGAAGAATCCCGAGGGATTCGAGGACCTGGGCTCTGCCGATCTTCGGACAACGCTGCTGGCGGCTGCTGCCGACAGCTTGGATGGTCTTCAGAGCCTCTCTAGCATCGCCCACGATGGAGGCATCAGGATTTTCCACCAGAACTCCGAAGTGGCACGGATGCGGGTCAGCCTGGACGAGGAGGGAGCCTGCATCCCAGACCCGGAACCGGAGCAGAGCATCGTGCTCACACCTGCAGCAGACGCCCTCTGCTGAAGTGAAGAAGTTCCTTGCTATCCGGAGTTGTCGGCAGAATCTGGAGATGAATCATTTGCCCCAACCTTGCAGCACAATCCCAATTTATTTCGTGTGCACACGGGCAGTGCGCCTAATCCCAGCAAGGCAAGGTCACTTGTACAGCTTGGCATCTAACCCTCCAGACCCTGTTTCGTCCCTGGCTGTTTTGTACAGAAGGTCATGTGGCCAACAGACCAGGCCAGTGCGATGAAGCAAATAAATATACATTCCATGTAAAGAATTGGGTCACCTGCACGTCGGAGAAATACCCGAAGCGTACGTGCTGGGCCCTGGGGCAGCTTCCAGCCCACTGTTCTCAGAGTTCAGTTTCTTGCGTTCCGATGGCCGCGGGAATGCGCGGTGCTGCCAGGCAATCCTATTCTCCTGCAGCAGAAGACCTGAAACATACTAGAAGCATGTATATGATGCAGGAGTAGGAGCCGTCTTTTGCGCTACGCCTAAGTGTTGTACGGGTACACGCCTGTGCGTGCGACAGGAGGTTTTCTGCAGGCAGTCTGTGTTTAGGACAAACTGTAGCTGCTGTTGCGGTGGCTGCTCAGCACACCTTCTGCGCAGTAACTCCTCTCCTGGCAGCGGGCAAAAGTTGATTGGCTCGTGGGAATTTCCCGACGAACATGGATTACTTGCTTAATGTCAAGTGCCTGTTGGGGATATTTTTGAGTCTGCCCATAAGCTGCCTGATTCAGTTGAGCACATGTGCTCAGTCCGGTTGCTGATGACCTGGTAGGAGCTCCGGACATGTGGGGAGATTGAGACCGAGGAGCCGCGTGCGGGGCCTCAGGAATTTGGATAATATCGGAGATCCAAGCGTGGGATGAACTTAGGTTTGGAGTAATCAATCAATCAATCTATCTATCTGTCTACCTATCTATCTACCTATCTATCTATCCACCTATCTATCTATCTATCTATCTATCTAGGCAGCTATCTATCTAATCTACCTACCTATCTATCAATCCACCTATAAAATTAATTACCTACCCATCTATCTATCGATGTATACATACATGTATGTATGTGTGTGTATATATATATATGTATGTATGTATGTATGTATGCATGTATGTATGTAAGTATGTATGTATGTATGTATATATGTCGCAAGGATTGTATAAGTAGGTGCATGCCACTGCTGCCAATGGGCTGCGACCTCATGGAGTCTATGGCCGGAAAACGTGAAAGACGTGATGTATGTATGTATGTATGTAGGTAGGTAGGTAGGTAGGTAGGTAGGTATGTATGTAGTTATGTACATATGTCAATTATATACGGACTGCATGGGGTTTTGGGGTGTAGTACGCTATAGTCAGATAGGGACTACAGGGGGAGAAGGGGCTTCTTTAAGGAGCGGCTTGGAGGAGTGAAGAGTAGTATTGGGCTGGGGTGCCAGGATCTCGGTACCCCAAATACAGGGAGGATAAGGCCTCTAGAAGGTCGTGGATCACCACCTGCGGCGGCCGGAAGCTCTTCGTCATAAGGAAGGGGCCCTAATCAGGCCCTAATTGACCTAATCATTAGTTGCGGGTATCTTACACTATCATGACGACAGGAACCCTAAGGAATGGTCGGAATAGCATTGGTAGTTCTTCGGGCTTCCATACTGCCAGCCTTCTTGCGTCGTCGGCTTCGACGGTGAAGCGTGCAAAAGCTCCGCATGGTTCAGAAGCCTTCGTCACAGCTATCTCAGGAAGATGCCAGGAGGAGTCGGGTTTGACTTGCTTCAGAAGCCTTTAACCCGCAAGCCTTAGTTAATACAGTATATAAGATATAAAAGGCAAGTTAACAAGAGCTAACACTCGTTATACCGTACTGTGCGAAACTGCACGTTGCTGTAGTGTACTTTGATGGAGTTGTATTACATTGTATTGTGTTACACTACAGAATATAACAGTATGTTGTCCTATAATATTGTAATATCGTCTATTTTCTCCACCCTGAAACCGAAGTTGTGGCCAATCACAAGGAAGCGGCCTTAAACGGCCAGAGCCACGAGATCCGGAGGACGGAGCCAGGGGCAGTGTTGTAGCTTGGACCTCTAGGATCGTAGTGAAGTTCAGGAGTTTAAGGGATTTTGGCGGTTTTGAGGGTGCAGAGCGACAGAGATACGATGGTATTCTCTAGAGTGGTTCTTGCGAAGCTGAGACAAATAGGTTCGTTCGAAAACAGGGCACCTTGTACTGATTGTACTGGTAGCTCGATTGGAATGTGATAAGCTTCCCTGCCAAATGCCTCCCTGAAGGGAACCCTGACACAGAGCCCACTCTAAACCCCGGACAGCTGTCGCACTGGCAAAGCAGGTCCCCAAAACCCGAAGCAACAGCACCGACATCTCTTGATGCGCTTCAGCTCTCGATCAGGCCACAGAACCCGGCATGCGTCTCAGAAGGGGCTTCGTTTTTCAGGTCGGGAACCTTGCGGGTTCAGGGCTTTAGGGATTTTAGGAATAGGGAGTTTGGGAGTGATCTTTGGGCTTGCAGCATGCTAAAGTGCATCTGCTGCCGGTCCCAAGGCCCCAAAGTTCGAGGGGCACCGCCCCCCTCTCTGACTCCTACAGCCCCAGGTGATTCGCCAAAGCTCGCTGCCACCGTCAAGGACGGGACGTGCCCGCAGCCCCGCAAAGTCCTAGCTTCGGGTTGGTGGTTCTGGCTGTCATTCTGATAGAGACGATTCTGGGACATCAGGCGAACAGGGAGAAGCAAACAAGCTTCTGACCTGCCAAAAGGCGGAAAACCTTGAACCTGTTTGATTAGAGTTTGAGGCGTCGCAGGCTATTCGTTCCTGTTCCTCTCCACGGCATACAGCATGCCCAGCAAAGCAGGCAGTTCCGTGACATGCACCCGTGGTTGCAAAAACGCTACAAATCCAAATCGCCTAGAGCGCGACAAGGTTTGAGAAAGCATCTCATGTTTTGCACGTCTGCGCTGTGGAAGCCAGACCCTCAAGCCTAGTTTAAGCCCCGAAGTCCGTAAGCTGTCAACCCAAAAGCCCCAAAGCCCTGTGCAGTCCCTTAACACCCTAAAGTCCTTGAGCCTTCTGAAGCACTTTAAAGGCGTGAAAAACCCACGGAGAGACCCCAAAGCCCCAATTCACAATCACAAACTTTGCAGAAGCTTCTGAAAACCTAAACCCCAAAGCCTAGTCCAGGAGACAACCCAGCCGGCGGCAGGGACCTCTCAGCAGATGCAACTCGACCTTAGGGGAGCCAAGATCCCAACCAAACTGACAAGACTGCAATCATGAATGCTATTATTGTTGGTTTTAGTCTTGCTATTATTAGTGTTGTGATGATTCTATCTTTGCGATTCCATTGTTATCATTTTTTGTAAACCGACGTCGTCGTCGTTGTCGTATTGTTCTCATTGATATCAGTAGCAGTAAATCGTACTAGTAGTAGTAGTAGTAGTAGTAGCAGCAGTAGCAGTAGCAGCAGCAGCAGCAGCAGCAGTAGTTCCAGTTGTAGGAGCATAGAAACAATCATCACCCCATCACCATCCCATTCATAATCGTAATCATAGTCGTAGTCGTAGTCATACAGTCATAGCCATAGCCGTAGCTGTAGCCGCAGCCATGGCCACAGCCATAGCCATGGCTACAGTCATAGCCATAGTCTGATGAACGTGACCATGACAATGATCATGACAATGATCGTGGCGATGACCATGGCAATGATCATGGCGATGATAAGTGACAACAATAGGAGAAGAAGACTAAGAGCAACAACGGCAATCGTAGCAACAAGAGTAAGAATGTGTGCCTCGCTGATCACGTGGGGGGTCTGTCGCGGACTTTTCAGTTGGCACTGTGTGAGAATGCGATCTTGCCCTACACTCGAAGCCCTACACGACCAGCTTTAGTCTCACTCATTGCCATTCCAGCACCGCGCAAACCCCGGACCCTGAGGCCCTCAACCTCAAAAGCCTAAACCCTACACCCCAAAAGCAAACCCTAAGTCCTAAACCCTAAACCGTAAACCCCAAAAGCCCAAACCCCAAACCCTAAACCCGAAAAGCCCCAACCCCTAAACCCTAAGCCCCAAAGCCCAGGCTCCTAAACCCTAAACCTCAAAATCCTAACCCTGAAGCCGGTCTCAGCAGGGCCAAGAAGCTGATCATCCGAAAGATCACGACGAGTGTGAAGTTGAATAACAACATGCTGGAAACCCTGACCCTCGGCTGCAAGTCATGGGTTTCGGGCTTAGGGTTTAGGGCTTAGGGGTTTAGGGTTTAGGGCTAAAAAAGGTCTTCAGGATTTTGTGGGTTCTGGGTCTTCGGGGCGAAGTTAAGGGTTCTAGGGCTAAAAAAGGGCTTCCGGATTTTGAGGGCTCTGGGTTTTGTTTTGGGGTTCAGGTTTCTAGGGTGTCAGGCTTTACTGGGTTTCAGGGTTTTCGTTTTCTCATGGAGTGCTTGTAACAAGAGCACAGATTTGTAGTGGAGAATTAGAGTTTCTTGGGGCAGCAGTGTCAACAGTAGTGTGGGAATGGAGCAGTTCTGGATTTCTCAACCAAGATGCCTGCAGAAATACTGACACTGGAGTAGTGCAGACTAGTAGTATGGGACTGCAAGCGGAGATTAGTACACAAGCTGTAGTCGAGGAAACATGCAGCCACAATACAGTGGTGACGAAACAATCTTGAAAAACTGGGCGACAACTGCCGTATGGATGAGCAAACATCAAGGCCAGATGGCAGTCAAGAGAAGTCGCAACAAGTTCACAACTGTATCGAAGATTAGTTTGATTTTGAGGAATCATATCCACAGTCAAAGAGCACAGATAGCAAGTGTTGTAGCTATCAGTCGCAAGAGCAACAGGGCGTGACTCGAGTAACACTACAAAACAGTAGCTCCAAGAATTGTCAATGGCTACAAATCAGCAGTCTTAGCACCTATATTTCTGAGAATGCATCGATCGTCTTCCCATCTGGCTTGCATCCAAGCACTGGCGACTACCAGAGTTTCAGG